TATACTATAATATACTATATATATACTCTAATATATATACATAGTTTATAAGTCATATTCGATAGTATACATCTTAAGATATACTTCATATACATCTTACTATATATATATATATATATATATATATATAACTTATATATCTTAAGATCTACTATATTATACTATATATATATCTAGTATACTATATATGTATAGTATATCTTAAGATGTATATATAGTATATTTTAAGATATATACTATGTATATATAATATAGTATATATATATTTTAAGATGTATATATAGTATATAAATCGAATATAGCTTATAAATCTTTATTACTATTTTTTTCCTCTAACTTCTATAAAAAAAAATTAAAAATAAAAAGTTTCTGTTGGGCCCGTTTAGGCCTGTTTGGACCCGTTTAGGCCCACCTAGGCCCGGGACCGGCCCACTTAACCCGGGACCGTTAGTTCGTGGTTCCGGTCCCGAGCTGGTTCCAGCAATAAGCCCGCGAAGCCCGGGACCGTTTAGGACCGGACCGCATAGGACCGGCCCACTTAGGACCGGGCCCGCAAAGCCCACTTAGGACCGGGCCCGCAAAGCCCACTTAGGACCGGGCCCGACCCTCTTGCCACCCTTACATAGGATTCTTCCGAGAATTTTGCGACGCAATCATCACAATTGAATTAAGCCTACTATTACGCCGATTTTCTCAGTTTATCATCGCCGATACTCCGGTTTTTTCTGTCTCCTCTGGTTTCACAACCATAAGCGAAGGTTTTGAAAAAAAAAAATTACAAACAATTATCTACAATGGTATTGAATTCTGTGACATAATGTCAAAAATAGCTATTATGCTTCAGCTAAATGATAATTGGGATAGCTTTGGGAGATACAAAGATTTTAATGTTGACGAAATTGTAGTCAGCGATGATTCAACTTATAGTCAATTGAATTCTGCAATCGCAGAGCACCTAATGATCGATACATCAGAAAAAATCATCGAAATCAAATACATTGTGAACAAACATTGTCCTCAAATGAAAATTCAGAACGATATGGGAGTTCGAGTATACATGGAGACGAAAAAGAAAAACAAAAGCTTAGGAATATATCCGCTATGTATAACAGTGCGTGATTTCGATTTGGAATACAATATCTCTAATTCGAACACAATTGCAGGTTTGCTCTTTTATTTCAGTAGTGATATGTTTTTATATTTCATGCGTTCTACAATTTTTCTACAATATAGCTACAAAAATACTACATAGCAAGTGTAGTTCAACTATTATGAATATTGATGTATTGAATTTCACGTGTTCTATAATTTTACTACAAACTATCTATAATGTATGTCTGAACTGTAGTTAGCTTTAATTGAGTGCAGGTTCATCTGGAACACTGAAGTTGATTGATATGCAAACATCTTCGGCGATAGTGGAATAAGAAAGTATTATCATAACAGAACATATGCCATATGTTATTGAAGTAGGCCAAGTCTACAAAGACAATCAAATAATTGCCAGTGCAATGAAGCACTATTCTGTCATGAACAAGTTCCAATTTAGGGTGAAAAGGTCTAGCGCAAGAAGGTAGGAACAGTTCAATTGTCAACATCATATTTTTGTTTAATTTGTAGTTTCTTTGTGTATCTTTTTTTGTATAGTTTGTAATATCATTGTATACAAATTGTATATAATTTGTAGTTTTTTTGTATATAAATTGTTAAATATAAGATTTTTATGCTTAAACAACCTATTATTTTGTAGCTACATTTTTCATAACATGCTTTAAATTGTTTTTATTCTGTAGCTACTGCCTGGTATGTGTTGGGGACAATTGTACATGGCACTTTATTCCACCAGCATAAATGATTCAGCATTGTTCAAGGTTCAAAAATTCAACAGCTTGCACACATGCTCTTTGATGGACAATACATACATACAATGCAAACCTACCGCCACTGTAGTTAGTAGCATGGTTATACCAAAATATGCAGATCTTAAGACAATTTACACACCAAAAGACATACAAACTGATATGTTATCAGAACACGGTGTGAACTTAACATACATGCAAGCTTGTAGAGCAAATGAAAAGGCTTTGGAATTTTTGAGAGGTTATCTTTCTGATTCATACAGCCGCTTGCCAAGTTCTTTGTATATTCTGGAGAAGACTTATCCGGGGTCGGTTGTTAAATTGCAGAAGACTAACAATGACTGTTTCTTGTACGCATATATTGCGCTTAGTACATCTATCAAGGGTTGGAAGTATTGTAGGCCAGTTGTAGTAGTTGATGGGACCTTTTTGAAGTCGGCATATAAGGAAATAATGTTAACAACTAGCACAATGGATGCTGCAGGTATTGTAGATTAATTGTAGAAATATTGTTATAAATTTATTTTTTAGTATGTATCTTTTTTAATCTCCAGTTTTATTATGGAAATTGAATTTCTTTTTGCCACCTGTGATAGGTAGCATATTACCACTGGCATATGCTGTTGTTGATTCAGAAAATGACGCATCATAGAAGTGGTTTTTTGAGCAATTCAAACATGCGTATGGTGAAAAACCAAATATGTATGTTATTTCGGATCAGAATGAGAGTATCTTGAAGGCAACATCTATTGTTTATATCGGCATACCACATTATGCTTGCATGTGGCATATTTGGACAAATATAAGGTCAAAGTTCAAGAAGGGTCATCTAAAGTTAAACATATTGTACTTTATCACGACACGATCATACTCGCTTGATGAATTTAATGAAAGAATGTCAAAGATTGAAGAGATCGACACACGTGTTAAAGCATACCTATACGATATTGGCTATCACAGATGGTCTCAGGTACATGTTACAGTGAACAGAACGTGGACGATGACATCAAACATTGCAGAGTCATTGAATGCGGTAACAAAAGATGCAAGAGAGCTGCCCATAGTAGAACTATTAGAGTATATGAGGACTCTTCTTGAATGTTGGACTAATGAAAAGTTATTGAAAGCAAATGGTACATTCACATACCTTGGGAAAAAATATAACAAAGAGTTGGAGGACAACAAGACATTATCACAGAAGATGAGAGTAAGCTATATCCAGTAACATCAGATCAATGATTCCATCAAACTAAATATATACTGTTAATTGTAGATAAAATATTGTATAATTATAGTTATTTTGTATATGTTTCTGACAACTTGTTGTGTGTTTGTAATGAAATTGTAGGTGAGGGCTTCAAAGATCACATCCATACAGTGATAGATTGTGTGAAGCGCTTTATTGTTTGTCTTCAAAATAAGAGATGTAGTTGTAGGCAATTCCAGCTTGATGAACTTCCTTGTGCACATACTTTGGCGGCTTTGAGGCACAAGAATGAGTCTTATGAAAACTATTGTTCTCCTTATTACATGAGGAAGAGCCTTTTGCATACTTATAAAATACCAGTAGACCCATTGCCTGACGAAAGCAAATGGAATGTGCCACAACATATAACTGAAAAAGTTGTAATGCCACCTACTGGGAAAAGACAGCCAACAAGACCTCAAAAATAAAGATACAAACCATATGATGAAGTAAATGCAAAAAAGTACAAGGTTTCATGTGGCAACTGCGAACTAGAAGGGCATAACAAAAGATCTTGTAAGAATGCTCTCAAGAGGAAATAAAATTTGATAAAGTCACAAGATTTTTTGATAAATTGTGTTGAGGTGTTCTGGAGAATTATAGTTGAGGTGTAAGTGTGTTGATAACTTGAATAAAGATTGTCTCCTATAATGAAATATTTTCAGCTCTTAATGCAATTGGTTTGTATTTATTTTGTTTAATTACTGAGTGTATTCATTTTAGCCTTTCATAACTTGATTGAATTATGTATTTTTTGTATGTATAATACATAATTGTAGTTAAGTTGTAAAGAAATTATATGCTAACAATAACGATATCAAGTACTAACAACTTTCAACCAAAAAAATAACAACAGATATTTCTTATTCTAAGTAGTAGTATCCTGGATAAAATAACAAAACATAGGGTAAAATAATTGTAGCACAAATTTGCTACAAATAAACTTCAACTGACTTGTTCTTAGACAACAATTTGTCTCTACAACTTTACTACAAAACAGGTACAACTAAACAATTTAACTACAATTGTTTTTACAGAAAAGGTCAGCTGGTGCACCTTTTCTTCTTCCTAATCTGCCTGTCACCTCGCTCTCACTAATTGCACCAATATCTTGCTTCTTCCTAGCATAATCCCAAAGTAGCGCTCCATGGCGTCTATGATGTTGATCAATATCAGAAAGGTCTTCCTTTGAAACTGCTAGCTCTCCAATGCTGACATATTCTGCAAATGCAGCCACGTATACACCACAGTCACTGCAAAAAAAAATTAGGAGAATTTTTTTTGCATTCATTGTAAAATAAAATCTGTTAAATAGATAGAAGAAAAAATAACTTTTTCATACAGTGATCCCTCTTTTTGCTGGGGTATCTCACCGACCAACCACTGAATATCAAGAGGGTCAGTAACACCTTTTTCAATGTATGCCTTTGTGTTCTTGTAGTTGATGTCTGCACGCTTGCCATAGAAGCCGGTGCATGACAAATAGAGGGGGATCATAATAACAAACTTGTTGACAACAGATTCAACAAGGTTGTGATTTCGTGAAGAGACCATAGAATCATAAACATATAGAACCCTATCGGTAATGTCAAACACAATCAACAACCAATGAAATTTCTCCACAATATTTATGAGCATAATCACAAAATCAACTTGATCTCATGCAACATTTGCGAGTAATCTGTACCCCAATATGTATTCTGATACGACATCCTGGGGTTTGACAATATCAAGCTTCTTATCGGCAGGAGCATTGATGTACCTCTAATAAATTTGTTCAATTCTAGTCTCGAACATACAATCAGTGGTTGTAAACTGTATTTTGTTTTGAAGACCATACTTTCCTCTCTTTCTCAAATAGTATAAAATAACATCAATGTGCTGCATAAAACAGATTTCATTATTTCTCAATGCTTCATACAATTTAACTACAATTTTTAAACAAAAAAACTACAAAATCTTTAGATGTCAGAATACTACAACTAGTCATTAGACACCTATGGGGTAATTTTCCCCTCACAAGATTAGACAAGAGACTTACCTCAATTTTCTCCAATTTAATCCACTAGAAAGCCTTTTTCTCGATTATCCAACTCTGAATGGCTTGAATCTAGCCAAAATAATCTGATACAATTACTAAATATTATAGAAATCAATTCCATAAGAAAATACTATATTTTTCAATAAAAATTCGAAATTAATTAAAAGTTTACCCGCGGGGCCCACGTCTCGGAATCCGGCGAAAGTTACGAAATCCGACAACCCATTCAATTATGAGTCCAACCATACTAGTTTCACTCAAGCCGACTCCGAATCGATACCGAAATATCAAAAATTTGTTTCTATGAGATTTCTAAAAATTTCCCAAATTTCAATCTCAAAACACTAATTAAATGGTGAAAATAATGATATATTCATGTATATTGACCAAATCCGAGTTAGAATCACTTACCCCAATGTCTTTTCCTTGAAATTCTATCAAAGATCGCCTCTACTCAAGCTATAATTTGTTAAAAATGGCGAATGTGACGAATGCCCTCTTTTATAATTCTGCCCAGGCAACCCTCGATCCTCGGCTTCGATCGTGGTTTGATCATGGCCTCGATCACAGCCCATAATATCCAGCAGAAGGAAAAATTGCAGCATCTTTTTAAGTCCAATTTTTGATCCGTTAACCATCCGAAACTCACCCGAGGTCCTCGGGACCTCAACCAAATATACCAACAAGTACTAAAACATTATACGAACTTATTTAAAATCTCAAATCACCTAAAACGATGCTAAAACCACGAATTACGCTCCAATTCAAGCTTAATGAAACTTAGAATTTCCAACTTTTACATTCGATGTAGAAACTTATTAAATCAACTCCGATTGACCTCAAATTTTGCACACAAGTCATAAATGACATAACAGAGCTATGAAAATTTTTGGAATTGGATTCCGACTCCAGTATCAAAAAGTCAACTCCCCGGTCAAACTTCCAAACTTAAATTCTTGTTTTTAGCCATTTCAAGCCTAATTTAATAACGGACTTCCAAATAAAAAATCCGAACACGCTCCTAAGTCCAAAATCACCATACGAAGCTGTTAGAGTCATCAAAATTCTATTCCGGGGTCGTTTGCACATAATTCGACATCCGGTCACTATATGAACATAAACTTTTAATTTTTTCATCAAAATTCTATATCTCGGGCTAGGGACCTCGGGATTTGATTCCGGGCATACGCCTAAGTCCCAAATCACGATACAGACCTATCAGAACTATCAAAACACTGATCCGAGTCCGTTTGCTCAAAATGTTGACCAAAGTCAATTTAGTTGAGTTTTAAAGCTCTAATTCACATTTTAATCCATTTTTTCACATAAAAACTTTCCGAAAAATTTTACGGATTGTGCACGCAAGTCGATGAATAATAAATAATGCTTTTCGAGGTCTTAGAACACAAAATTAATTATTAAATTTAAAGATGATATTTTTGGTCATCACATTCTCTACCTCTAAAACAAACGTTCGTCCTCGAACGGTTTATACATGAAGTGCTGAATAAGTGTGGATATCTGCTCCATATGTTTTCCTCGGCCTCCCAAGTCGCTTCCTCGACTGGTTGGCCCCTCCACTGGACTTTTACTGCAGAAATCCTCTTGGACCTCAACTGGCGAACCTGTTTATCAACAATGGCAACTGGATCCTCTTCATAACCCAAGCTATTATCTAGCTGAACTGTATTGAAGTCTAACACATGTGATAGGTCGGCATGATACTTACGGAGCATAGATACATGGAAAACCGGATGAACTCCCGATAGGCTGGGAGGCAATGCAAGCTCATAAGCACCTCCCCAACTCGTCTCAACACCTCAAATGGGCCTATAAACCTTGGGCTCAACTTTCCCTTCTTCCCGAATCTCATGATTCCCTTCATCGGTTAAACCTTCAAGAGAACTTTTTCACCCATGATAAATGATAAATCCCGAGCTTTCTGATCTGCGTAACTCTTCTGTCTGGACTGTGCTGTATGAAGTCGCGCCTGAATCAACTTTATCTTTTCCAAGGCATCTTTCACCAAATCAGTACCATATAATTTAGCCTCACCGGGCTCAAACCATCCGATGGGCGAACGACGTCGCCGACCATATAAAGCCTCAAATGGAGCCATCATGATGCTGGATTGATAACTGTTATTATAAGTGAACTCGGCCAAAGGCAAGAAACGATCCCACTGACCTCCAAAGTCAATCACACATGCCCTGAGCATATCCTCCAAAATCTAAATTGTCCGCTCTGACTGCCCATCGGTCTGCGAATAAAAGGCTGTGTTGAGCTCTACATGGGTCCCCAACTCACTCTGTACTGCTATCCATAAATGTGAAGTAAATTGAGGACCTCTATCTGATATGATAGAAATTGGAACACCGTGCAACCGAACTATCTCCTGAATATAAATTTGGGCCAATCTCTCTGAAGTATACGTAGTCACAACAGGAATAAAATGTGCCAACTTGTTCAACCTGTCAACAATAACCCAAACTGCATCAAACTTCCGCAAGGTCCGCGGCAACCTAACTACAACGTCCATAGTGATGCGTTCCCATTTCCACTCTAGTATAGTCATCTGCTGAAGTAGGCCACCTAGCCTCTGGTGTTCGTATTTAACTTGCTGGCAATTTAGACACCTAGCTACATACTCAACTATGTCCTTTTTCATTCGCCTCCACCAATAATGCTGCCTCAAATCACGATACATCTTCGTAGCACCTGGATGAATAGAATACCGAGAACTGTGTACTTCCTCTAGGATCTTCTTCCTCAGTTCATCCACATCAGGAACATATAAACGATCATGGAGTCGCAGAACACCATCTGCTCCAATAGTAACTTCCTTGGCACCACCCCGTAGTACCGTTTCTCGAAGAACCATTAAGTGTGGATCATTATACTGGCGAGCCTTGATCTGCTCAAATAGTGAAGACTGAGCTACAACACATGGAAGAACTCGGTTGGGCTCTGAAATGTCCAATCTCACAAGTCGGTTAGCCAAGAATTGAATATCCAAAGCTAATGGCCTCTCCTCTGCTGTACTGAAAACCAAATTACCCATACTCTCCGCCTTTCTACTCAAGGCGTCTGCAACCACATTTGCTTTACCCGGATAATATAGGATAGTAATATCATAATCTTTCAGTAATTCCAGCCATCTGCACTGCCTCAAATTTAGGTCCCTCTGCTTGAACAAATGCTGCAAACTGCGATGATCAGTGTAAACTTCACAAGACACCCCATAAAGATAATGCCTCCAAATCTTAAGAGCGTGAACAATCATAGCTAATTTTAAATCATGTACCGGATAATTCTTCTCGTGGGTCTTCAGCTAAAGTGAAGAATATGCAATAACTCACCCTTCCTGTATCAATACACAACCCAAGC